TCCAACATCCAGTCCCGGGAAATTTCTCATCAACCTTTGCTTCCTTGTTATGATGTTTCCCATATCAAGTCAAATCCTGCAAACAGGTCAGCTCCAACTTCAAAATCTTCGAGAATGACCCCTCAGGAAAAGATCGAAAAACTGAGGTGGCGCCAGCAAATGCGGGCACTGCTTGCCATTAAGAATCAACAGCAGCAGTTTACTCATCAAGTTCCAAGTACCAATCATTCTGTCTTTGAAAACTCTAGTCAAGAAAACGATTTCAACTTGGTGATGATGTTGAAGATCTTAGCCCTCTTGCCTCTTTTGACCCGAATTCCCCATTCGAGAAAAATTACTCTAATACGGTTGCTGTTGCAATTGATGACCATTCAGTGGAGGACAGAGTACTCTATCAGCTACAAGATATAATTGCAAAGGTATGCATGATGACTTGCTGGTGCGTTTCTCTCCTTGCAGGATAATAAGGAATTAGTGATACCAACAAACCTAGTTTTGCAGCTGGATATCAGAACTAACTTTGCATAAGAGATAGCTTGTTCCGGTTGGCTCAAAGTGCGATGCAGAGACATTATGCTAGTGAAACGAGCAGAACTAGCATAATTATCAAGGATGAAAATGAATCTTCAAAAGAAGAAGATAAGAACCATAACAGGTTAGTGAACTCTACACTATGGCAAACCTGCTTTTATGTAATCCTTCAAAAGGTTATCCTCAGTCTGCTTTTCCTGTCAAAACTGAATTCTTCTATAATCTTGTTTCTATCTGAAATTGATGATAAAAAACATGCTCAAGTGTTTCACGAATGGAATTCTGCTCGCTCTTAATGAATCAAACCATAAAACTGGCTCGAGCAGAATCCTTTCATCCTGCACCGTGTCATTCTATTATTGTCAAGATTCAATCCCCCTTTTTTCATGTAACTAGTGTCTGCTAAAATGAGAAGCTAAAAATAAGTTCCTTGTGCCACAAATTTATTCTGTTTTTCATGCTGTTAATAGCCTGGGTGTGGTTCTTGTCTAAGTTTAAGAACTACATGCTTACATATATGGATTAACTACTCTGTGAAGATCTTATAAGTTTCAGTGATCAGCGCATCCTCTAACAAACACAAAGTAATATCATGGTTTCATTTGGTTTTTTAGACTTTTAGGTATTTCCCTGATAAAAAAGGTTTTTTAGACATAAAATATCCATCTCTAACCTTTAATACTGCATTTTACTCTGTCGCAGTTGATTTGCCTTAGAAGTTTAAGTCTCATCTTATTTTCCTTGAACATAATTGTGCAGGATGTCTGAAACAGAAACAGAGACCAATCCCATAGATCGTACTGTTGCTCATTTACTCTTCCATCGGCCTCCGGTTTTGTCCAGAAAGCATCCAGAGACTCCTGAATCACTTGCTTCCATAAAGCTCCCATGTGAACGCAAAACAGTGAGTTTAATGAGTTTGCCGATGCATTGCATATTAGAGTTAGACAATTCACATGTTAAAAGAAATCTTACTCACCAGGTCTCAAAAGTTCCTTCACCATTGTTGGACCGCAAACATGTAGAGCAATTTAAGAACAGCCCTTTCGTAGATGCTTCCTAGAATGCGACAAACAATCATCCTGCTGATGCAGAGGTTGAAGCCTCTCACAGAAATCTGGAACTCTTCTAAGAGTAATTACTTTCTTTACTTCCATGCCTATTAAATATATGCTTCGGATTATTATATGGATTTACTGGTAGTTCGAAGGTGCTCCTTTTCTTGTCAGCAGATCCTTTCAAACTTATCATGCTCCCATGGAAATCATCCTAGCTTAGCTGAATCTTCAACGATTGGCGGGATCCAGAGCTGTAAAACATCATCATTTCCAGAATATGTGGACATCTTTTGTCCCCTTCTATAAACGAAACCTGCATAGGTAATCAATTTTAGTTATGAATCTACTGTTCGAAATTCTCCGTTTGTCTGTCTATCCTCTAACATACTCCGTGGAGGCAACTGCTTTATGTGTGTCCTCTAATCTATACCCTTTCCTGATGTGCAACATCATCCAACTCTGTGAAACATTCTAAGTGTTGACTTATGTTGTTATGACTTTTCATTTTTCTTAAAATATTCGTATAGACACTTGTGTCTAAGACGCTTAGATAAGAGTGTGGAGAATGGGAATGTAACATTCCAAGGACTCCAAATAAATAGAAAATCTTGAGAAAAAAAACCGAATCATTCGTGTGTCGATATATACTCATATCTAATGTTTACACCCGAGTTTCGGAAGCATAGGTGGTGTTGGCAAATTGATATTGCCACTTTTATTCTTCCTCTACAGCTTTACTCTAATTGGAAGTTCCAATGGCTAAACCGGTCGTAGAATTGATGCACAATGTGTGTGCGTTATTAGCTTAAATTGTTAAAAAAAAAGGATTCATTTTAGTAAATAAATGTATTATCCCACATCTGTTTAATCCTGAGTTACATATGCTTTCTAGGGTAAATTACATATTTTCTTATATTCGAGCTTTTGTGTCTATTACTAATTGATTTTATGTCGGATGCTTAATATAGAGTTAACATTTTGATTTGTTGCATGTTTCTCGTACTTGTTTCGATGCTGCTATTCACTAGTTAACCTTTAGAGGTGACATTCAATATATCTTGCGTTTGAATCTCAGTTTTGCATGTGTAAAACTTTTTAATTTTACCCTTTTTGGATAGTTAATTACACGTTTTGATTTTACTCTTTTTTGGATAGTTAGATGAATAAAAATAGATAGTTGGAATTAATAGTGAAATGAGAAGATATTCACAAAAAAAATGAAATAATTTCAGTCATCTATTTTCACTTATCAAACAATTCTAAAAAAAGTGTGTGTATATATATATATATATATATATATATATATTCATTCAACGATTCTAAATTTGTGTAAAACTAACAGAGTTTTATATTATGTAAGTAGATTCTAACTCTAATTACTGTAAGTTATAAATTCTAAATCTTAAATTTAAACCTTAAGTCTTAAATCTAAACCCTAATTAATGATTATAACACATGAATCATTAAAACCTTGTTTGTGGATTTTATTCATAGTCATCGCATGAGATAATAGTCCATATATATAGAGAGAGAGGAAGCTATCATTTGATACACAAGATGTGATTTTGTTTATATAATATGTATATTTTAATTGAAAATCCTAAAATTTAGATCCCTAAACTTAAATCCTAAACGTAAACTCTAGTTTTTAGTTTACAGAAATTTGTCTATTTTAATATTATGTTATTTAAGGTTTTTAGTTTAATATTTTAGTGTTTTAAAGTTTATATTTATAAATAGGGTTTTAGATTCTAAAATTTTGAACTAAAATAGGCAGGTTGTGTAAAAAATTAAGTTTACATGTCCTATTTATTTTGATCAAGTTAATTTGATTACAAATAATAAATCTCTCTCCCTCTTTATATATATAAGATAGGATTCAATTATGTTGTGTAAAATATTTTAGTTTTACACAAAATTAAGAAAGTTGAATGAGATTAAATAATCGAGTGAGATTAACTTTAGTAAATGTGAAGATATTTACCAGAAAAAAAAATAAATCTTAGTCATTTATTTCTTCTCATCCAACGAGTTTAAATTTGTGTAATTTAAAAAAAAAGTTTATATGATATAAATTGATCATAATCTTATATATATTGATTGTGAAAAATTTACAATTAAGATTCTATTATGTATATATGTTTTATTTAGGTTTTAAAATTTTAATGTTTTTAGAGTTTAAAGTTATTAGTTAGAGTAAAAGATCATTCAAATATTATTCGCATATTAACAATATATCCTCGTTTGTGGAGTAGTTCTTTTACACTGCTAGTGGATGGAATGATTATTTATATAGAGTTATTGTTTTTTTAATTAATCTGGGTAAGCATAAGACATTATCTGTTTTAAGATAATTCTAAACTCTTTAACATTAAAGTTCACAACCCGACGTTCATGGTGTTCGAACTCATGTATTAAGGAATAATAATCATTTCTTTATCACAGAGACCACTCGATTCGTGCACATAGAAATATTGTTGAATATAAATGATGTGTAAACTTTCTTTTATACAACCTATATATTTTAACCTAACATCTTAAAATCTAAAATCTTAACTCTAAGTAAAGACAAGTGGGTTTGTTGCTCTCTGAAAATTTTAAATTATCATATATTTTAGTTATTTTTTATATTTTTTTGTTGATAATTTATTTTTGTCGTCTAGAATTTTATAAGTTTGTCTTTCTATAATTTTAGAATTTCACTCCTAGTATAAAATTTTATGACTGCCACTAAATACAAATCCAGTTGATGATATTTAAAATTAATTATTTAATATTAAATAAAAAATAAGATTTAACTAATTTTTAATATACCACCGAAAATTCAAGGATGAAATGCTTTTATGCAAAAGATTGAGAGTAAAAGGAGGAGGTGAGATCATTTGAAATAATTTGATGATTGGAGTGAATGGATTTGATGAATGAATGGAACATCAAGCTCGGGTAATCAAACTAGGGTTAAGCTTAAGTAAAAATGTAAGAAGTTTATGAGTTTATGTTGAATTAGGATCATACGAATCGATCCAATAAAATATATTTTTCATTAAAATTCATCACGTTAACGTGACGAGTTCAATGAAAACTATAACAAATGTCATGGATCACAAAATAAATTTCTGTGTTCTATTGTACTAATTTTTTGGCCCGTAGACGTAATAGGAAAAAAAACCCCACTTATAGAAGCATCAATGATTTTAATGAAGTATAGAAATAACTATCATTTATACTGATTTTTTTAATCACTGAAATTTTAGGGTTTTCGAATGCTTGAAAGATTATTTCAAGATATATTGAAATAGCTTTTATGCAACATAAAATGAGAAAATAAAAATAAAAGAAAATAATGATGGTATAAAACAAAAAATTCAACTCAACTAATTCATAGAGTACTCTCGAAAAAAAATATTATACTCATAACGTATAATCTGCTTTTGTAGGCAACCTACTAAAGAAATTCTGGGGAGCATTTAACACATCTTTTCCCAACAATGGAGGCCTCATTGCATAAACTCCTACAAAAATAAGAAAAACTTCAAGACTGATTACACAATATAACATCAAAGATCCAACAACACAACAAACAAGGAAGATTGGTGTAATTCTTGGGTCTCGCCAGTTTAGCAGTGAGTGAAACCTCTCCGCCAGTGTTGCAATGTCACCGATCACCCCCACGACTCTCCCCGCAATGCTTCTAAGCCGGTCGTATCTCATCCGGAGAACATCAGATTGTCTCGAAGACGGGAAAGTGTCAAACTCTTCGTCCAGTTCGTCGGCTGTTACGGGAAGGGATTGCTCGATATGTGTCGGATGCATCGGTCGCTTCCACCACTGGAAAATCATAGCTTGAACACTATACAGAATCACTGCTGGCAGTATCAAGTCTGGTTTAAGAACTATAATGCAGTAGATTGCAATGACTGCAACGGTTGCTGTCGGATTCTCCCACTTGCGGATTTCGTCGAACCATTTCCGAGCATCTGATAAGCACTTTAAAGTAGCCAAAATTCTGGAAAAATTAGCTTTGGCTTTCCTTAAACTGTACGTCGTGGAACCTCCGTTCAACATGTACTCCACAACTTCGCTCCTTAATGGTGGTTCGGTCCGGCTTAGACTCGAACAGAGAATATGAATAGCTTGTTTACGTAAATTGTCGACTTGATAGATCGAAAGCGGATAAATATGATGCATTGGAGGCAACAAAGGATTCATGGTGTAAATCAGAAATAGGTTAAAGTAAGATGTGCAAGTAAATCTTACAGCTAACTGAATTTCTCCTGTTCGTTTTACTCCATTAGGCTGTAACACCAAAAGCGGGAAAGAATATGTGTAAATCTTGTTCTTTTCCAGAGTCGAGAGTCGAATCTTTACCTTTCCGATACTCGGATCTTTTCCATCTCCGGCCACATCGCTATCATGCAAGTGACAGTCATCGAAAATTCCTATGGTAAGCATGGTGTACGGATCATAAACATCCCAAGTATATTGTTCATTCCATTTCGGATCGAAACTGTCGACTACTGTACGAGTCTTTACCCACTTAGGTCCGTATTTCGCCACACAATAAGCATCGGTCGTTTCACGGCCATCTCTAACCTTCATTGGCTGCAAACCAGTAGCGTTTATGATCCCCAACTCCAAAACTCCGATCATAGTCGTCCACAGCGCTTTCGCTGTAGGCCGGTAATCGCTTCCAAAGTGAACGGATTCATCGTACACATGATATCCGCCATCAAGACTTACCCTCATGTTAAGCTTACTAAAGAAATTATCCTTTTTCCTCACACCATCTTCAAACACGTCTTCAAGATTGTACCACTTTGGATCAGCCGGTAAGGGTAGCAGCCTCTGATCGACATCCGACAAGTGAATTACGCACTTCCCTAAATGTCGGATTGTATTATTTTCGAGCCTATCTTCTACCGTTATGATTAACGGATCAACAAATGGTTCGGCAACAACAAACATCAAATCCTCATTCCATTTAGGATTCACATTCTTATCAGGGGAAACTCTGGTCCTCAATATCACATCCCCAACAACAGACTTGACATAAACTTCAGGATTCCGACCCTTGTGACCCAAAACTAAATCTTGTGCTTGAATTACGTTAACTCGAAGGTACCAAAGTTTCGGCGAAAGATACACCTTCGAATGAGTATTCGAAAGGCTTTTGCCGCTCACAGTCGCCGAATCCGAATGCCAAGCCTTGGAAAACACACGATCGGCTTGCGTGCTATACCAGATAGCCAACATCAATTCACCTTTCCCTACATTGACACCATTATTATCCTCCAATTTATACCATTGTGAGGCAAGGGGACTATCAGGGGGAAGACAAGTTGGAACATCATGCAAAGAAATGGTGATTTTACCAATCACATCCTCATTGATCACATTGATCTCCATGGTTGTACCCTGCAACCGATATACTGCGAAGGAGAAAACTTGGTTCCATTCGGAATCCGGTTTCTTCTCAAAATACTTTGTCGTCGCGCGATAGTTCCCGATTTTTATTTCGACATAAGGATTCATGATTCCATTGGGAGTTTCCAGCGGTAAATCTCTAGCTCTAACTATTCTGACAAATAAGAACTTCATCTGCTCGACGAGATCGAATGAAGATGCAAGGTTTTTTTTACCGGAGACTCGGTCACCGCCGATGTTCGGTCTGGTTTCCCTCAAAGAATAGTCTATTTCTTCACCTTCCATTGTGCGAAGAGAACTTGAAAGAAGGGATCAAACGTTAGAATCTTCTGCAAAAATAAATGAACAGTGGAAAACCCAACAAAACATAGCGTAAAACAGATTAAGTATATATATACTTTAAGGCAACTCAGTTTCCCATAATGGTATTGAGATTATACGCAAACTGTATGAATTGGGACATAAGAGAAGAGGTTTAGATTTCAAAACATGCAAATTTCGATGTTTTCATTGTTGAAAGAGAAAGCAGATAACTCAAAACATCTTCCACGATCGACTCAAGTATAAACCAATGTTGAATTTAGGCTTAGGCTTTCTAAAAACTACCTTATTTTCTGGTCTGTAAACTTGAAGGCGAGAGAGAAGAGGAAGACGACTTGCGACACTGAGTCAGCTTGTCTGACGGCAATGGAATTTTATACAGGTTGAATCTATTTGAATAATTTTCACTAATATATGCTTAAATTATTATTTTTTCGAATGATTTTGGACGGTAAACCTAGGTAATTTCTTTCCTTAAGTGACAAGTATTCTAGTAATTTTAAAAATTTTATTTAAAATTAAAATTATATTTAAAAATATTATATTTTTAAAAATATAATATTTTAAAAACCTTTATTTTAACCCTTAAACCAACACCAATCCCATCTTTTTGTCGTCGACGAAGATTCACCTAATCTTAACTCCCCTGATGATCAATATCGTATGAAATCGCAACTAATTGATGGTCGATCAATAGCCAATTGACGTTTTGTAACTCCACGAACCCTAAGACGAAAATCGTGATTTCGATGACTAACTGCAGCAACTACGGTGACCTATAACTAGGAGGATGACAGAAAGTACATTGGTTGTAGTGGTCGTGGTTAAAAAGGGGCGGGTTAGGGATTTAGGATTTTTAGGGATTTGGATTTTTTTTTACAATTTAAAAGAAAATAGTTTTTTTTATAAATATATATTTTGATTTTAAAATTATCAGAATGTGACATGTGTCAGTTAAAGAATGAAATGAACGGCGTTTATGACTCGGGCTCTTAAAGTAGTAACGTTTGTAACTTAGGCATGGAGGTCATTCAAAAAATAGTTTAAGCACCTATTCGTGAAAAGCGATATAGTTTGAACGTTAATTTTATAATTAAGCATTATTTTAAAAAGTTACATTATGATTACTTTTTTTTTAATTTGTCCTATTTCTATCGTTGAATCATTAATTTTCTTTGGTTTTAAGATATGACATGTTAATAAAATTATTTAAATTTTAAATTTTTTCTAGATTTTAGATGAAATATTAATTTAATTTTAAATTTTAGATTAAATGTTAATTTAATTTATAAATTTCAGATAAAATATCAATTTAACCCCTTATTCTATTAAAAAAAATTCCGATATCGACCATCACTCATCATTATTGTAGGTCAACATTAGTTTTCATTATTGATGATTGTCGATCTCCATTTCCGATGATCGTTAGATCTAAAATTTTGAGTTCACTCGTATTCACCTCTTAAATACGAATTTAATGTCGAAAAGTATGTCAAACTTTACAAACTTAGTTTAAAACTCTTTAAATTCTTGGGTAAACTATGTATTTAGTACCTAAACTCTCAATTTTAGTATCTAACCTTTCAATATTTTTAAAATCATACCTAATGTTTAGTTTTTGTTTCATATTAGTACCATACCGTTAAAAACTTAATGTGTTTAGTACCTAAACTATTAGTTTTTGTACGATTTAATACCTAAATTTCAATTTTTTTCAAAATTAACATTAAATTTTGAACGGTATACTAAAATGAGATAAAAATTAAATTTTAGGTATGATTTTGAAAACATTAAAAATTTTGGTGTTAAAATGAACTAAAACTAATAATTTAAATACTAAATACGTAATTTACCCTAAATTCTTTTTAAAATAAAGGGTAAATGATCGCTTTTATTTTTGTCATGCCTTATTTTGGTCAATAGTTTTGAAAAAAAGTAACATTTTGCTCACTTACGGTATTCGTTTTTTAACATTTTGATCAATAGACTGTTAACTCCTGTCAATTCGATGGCATGACGACACGTTAAAAATGTTAATTTTAAAATTAACCCTTAAACTTCCAAAAATCTATTTTTTCTCCCTCTTCATAAAAAAAAGCTTAAAATATAATCCCAAAACAAAACAAAAAAAATCTCTCCTAACCCTCATCTTTGATGTCATTGCCATGTCCTTTAACCATCGTCCTCTTTAACCGTTGTTCGATCTGTCTGTTTTACAAACATGTGGTGACTGACTCAGAGCCACCCAACAATTATGGATTTTAATCCGACATGTTTTGCTTATGTACAAGATGGCTTGAAGTTGGTTTGGTGGTACGTTAGTAGGCTACCCCGTTTAAGGACTGTCCCGTTTAGTTTCCAGACGTGTAGGGCTACAATGTGGCGCAAAAAACGAAGCAAGTGGCTTCTGGATTTTAGGCCAATAAGCTGCCATGCTCCCTTCTTCTCCAGATTTATACTACTGGTCTAACGGACCTTGGGTCCGTATGGGGCTACAACCCGAGGCTTGAATCAGTTTGGGAAGATGAATGAATTCACACCTAACATCACTGTCAAACTTTGGTAGATATAGCATGAGCCATGAAGGCATTGAAAGCAACATATGCAGTCGAATACAAGTTAGCAGGAATTCACAATTCCTTGCAAACATCAAAGGCTTGTGTTGCAAATAAGTCGGCCTTCGATCACGACCTGTTGGTAAAACACAGGAATATCGAATGGCGGCAGAAGATGACGACGACAACGACAACAAAATTTAGATGAGTATGTTTCACGCTCGAAAATGTTGGCTTTTCTGTACTTAATGTCTGTATTGAAGTAGATGCTTACCGTTCCATTAAAAAAAGGGGTAAACTACACGGTGACCACTAAACTAGTACCCTTTTTCATTTTGACCACTGATGTTTCAATTCGATCAATCAGACTATCCAACTATTTAAATGTTTCAATCAAGCCACTGCCCGTTAATTTTGAACGGAGGTGATGATGTGACGGTTAATAAAATTGGCATAAATGTATATTTGATCCTTAATATTTACACATTATATCAGTCACTATTTTAATTCAATTAAAATAAATTTAACCCTCCAATCTGGAGTTACCACGTGTCAGCATATAATTGGAGGGTTAATTTAAATATTTTAATTAAATAAAATTTTTTACTAATTAAATGGTGACATGTGTTACCACTGTGTAAAGGGGAAACATGTTGAAATAAAACAGAGCTTGTAGGGATTCAAACTAGGGACTCCTTGGGGGTCTAAACAACCTTTCTTATCTATCAAAAAAAAAAAAAAAAACCTTTCTTGCTGGACCAAGCCATCTATTTGGTTTTAAAGTGCACAATATTTTATATATTGTATTTGAGATTATTTCACGCATGATGTGTGAAATAATAATATATAAATTATATTAGAGTTATTTTTAAAGTGCATAATATTTTATATAAATTATATAAATTATTTTTCTGTTATTTTTAAATAATAATATATAAATTATATTAAAAATAAAATTATATTAAAATTATTTAGAAAATCCAAATCTCAAAATAAAAATGAGTTTTAGTATTTTTATTTAAATTATTTTTAAATAATAACATATAAAGTATATTAAATATAAAATTATATTAAAATAATTTAGAGAATTCAAATCACAAAATAAAATAATTTAATTTAAAATAAAATATTAAATTTACTTTTATTTTTTAGTTTACATTAACTATAATTTAATATATATATATATATATGAAATATAATTTATTTATTATATTTGTTTTCATAATTTAATATTTTATATTGTACACTTTAAAACCAAATAGATGGTTTGTACCAGTTGCAAAGGCTTGCCCAAACTCCCAAGGAGTCCCAGATTCGAATCCCCCCAGCTCTCTCCTATTTTAGCATGTTTTACCTTTACACATGTGGTGACACATGTCACCACCTGATTGGTCAGATAAGAGGATTAATTTAATTAATTGAATTAAAATAGTGACTAAATTGATAAAATATGTAAATATAAAAGACCAAATATATAATTATATCAATTTTATTAACTATCACATCATCACATATGTTAAAAAAACGGCGAGTAGCTTGATCAAATCATTTAAATAGTTAAATAGTTTAATTGATCGAATCGAAACATCAGTGGTTAAAATGAAAAAGAATTATAGTTTAGTGGTCACTTATGTAGTTTATCTATAAAAAAACGTCGCATGTCTTGTACTTTAAAAAAGAGGGTAAAATATATTAGTGACCACCAAACTATAGTTCCTTTATTTAAAAACATTCAATTAGGTCACTTGCCGTTAACATTTAATAAAAGTATTGAAGTGTCGGTTAATAAAATTTATGTAGTTACACATTTAATCCTTATTACTTACATAATCTATCAAATTGGTCATAATTTTAAAAGACTTTTTAATTTAATTTATATATTTCTTCTTTCAATCATGTGATTACACATGACATCTCCTAATGAAAAGAAAATAAATTGAATGGAAGGGCTTTGGGGGAGTCGAACTCGAGTGTCCAAGGAGGCAAAGCAACAGATTGAACTGCTACACCAAGACTAGTTTCTGGTATTTTTACCACTCGATCAGATTGGGTTTAAGGTAAAAATATACTATTTTTATACTTTTAAATTATAATAAATAATTATAAATATATTATTTTAACTATTTTAAAATATTAATATATTCATATCGGATTGGTGATAAAATTTAAGGTAAGAAATCATCGAATCGACCCAACATAGTATGAATATTAATATGTAGCATATGCAGTGTATTTGAAGTTAAAAGTTGTGTTTGGTTCATTGGTTAAACACTTGCTCAAGCTCTAAAGGAACCCAAGCTCGATTCCTTGCTTGCTTTCTTGTTTTGTTGTCTTTAATTTTCTTTCCACCGGGTGACATGTGATTGGTGCAAAATAAAACTATTAAATTAAATAAATTAAATCCTGCAATCAAATGTCATACATGTGGCATGATTTAATTCAAATATTAAATTTATTTTAATTTATTAAAATTAAAACTAAATTGATATAATATATAAGTAACAATTATCAAATGTGTAATTATACCAATTTTATTAATTGTCATGTCAGCACTTCCGTTAAATGTTAACAAGTGACATGATTGAATGTATTTAAATAGTTGGGTGGTTACTGTTATAGTTTACCCTAAAAAAATGTGACCATGGTATTATTTTTCATGTGGCCTTTCAACTTTGAAAAAAACTCAATGTGACCATTTGACTAATGTTTTTCGTTGTTAACTGTTGTAGTACTAATGTGATAGTTCACAGTGGTGACGTGAAGGTTCACGATGTTGAAGTGACAATCCATAGTGACTAATAACGTAGGGGATAACATGATAGATAGGCTAAATCAGTAATTCAAAAGTGGCAGGTGGATTGCCATGTCAGTACCATAGACCACCACGTCAACACCGTAAACTACCATGTCAGTACTATAACGGTCAAACGATGAAAAACGTTTATCAAAGGGTCATATTGAATTTATTTTCTGAGCTGGAGGCCACATTGAAAGAAAAAATAATAAGAGAGTCGTATTGACTTTCCCCCCAAAAGTATAGAGATATTTGATGTATATTTAACTTTAAAAAACTTAAAATCTAACATAAATCACCTTAAATGATAATGGTTAAGGAATTGTTGTTGTCTCATTATGTATATGAACTTAATTTTTAGGTTCAAAAAATCAAAATTGATATCTAAACTTGATTTAACGGTTCAAAAATAGTTCAACTACGTTATTTACTATAAGTATCAATTTATACCAAAAAAATAAAGTCTGAGTACCAATTCGAACCAAAAAAAGTAAATTCGTATAAATTAAAAAGTTCAAATACTAAATTGAACCTCAAATATAAATTTAAGTACCTGATTGGATAAAAAGTAGCTTAGACATAAAAATTTAATTTGAAGCAATGTTCACATATCAATAGGTTGCAAATGAGATGATACAGATTGCGAGTTACTTGAGATCGACTCGATCAAAGCTTGATAAATATTTGACTCAATTGGACTCGATTGAAGCTTTTAACGAGCCGAAACGAGCTACTCGATACTCAACTCGAAAAGTTCGTGAGCAACTCGAAAATATAATATATTAAGATTTTAATTTTTTAAAAAAATTAATTAAATTTAAGTCATTTATTTATTTAAATTTAATTATTATAGATTAGTGTAAAGCTTATTAGTTTTTTTTTAAATGCTTCTTCTAGAAAATATTTCTCACGTCTATTTAATCATTTTTTTTAATTTTTTTAATATAATAACTAAACTTTATACATTTTTTTTCACTATATCATTAATTTTATAACGATGTTATGACTTGACTTAAAAATGTTTATTAAAAAATTGTTCATATAAGTCTCAATAAAATTATTCTTTTATTTATCTGATCATACTCATCCGACTCCATGTTTAAGCACGAAAAATACAAGTTCCATTTCACTATTTTAATTTTAATTTTTTTCATCATTTGATTTATATAATAATATTTATTATTATTATTATTATTATTATTTTATGTCTCATATTAATTTTTTCCCAATAAAAAATTATTATTTATATAATAAGATACGATCACTTTTGATTTTATTTATTTAAGATGTGGTCACCACGATTTAATTGTTTAACAACTAATAGATTAAGTGACGTTATATTTTAATATAATCACACATTTGGTCCCTATTATTTACATATGCTCTAAATTTAGTCATAATTTTAATAAATTAAAATAAATTTAATCATCCAATTGAATGATGTCATGTGTCACTGGTGTCATGTGTCATGCCACGTGTTATCATTCGATTGGAGGACTAATTTATTTTAATTTAATATATTTATTTTTCCAACAATTTGCTTTGTTATATTAAAGTAAAAATAGTCCCTCCAATCGAATGGTGACACATGACATGACGTGACATATGGTACCAATGACATGTGACTTCATTTGATTGGAGGATTAAATTTATTTTAATTTATTAAAAGTATAACTACCTTGAGAGAAAATGTAAATAACATGGACTAAATGTGTGATTATATCAAAATATTTAACTGCAATTAACTCGTGGTGATCATCTTAATTAAATAAGAACCAACGTGACCATATCTTATGTATTTTAAAATTAATGACCAAAAGTGAACAAAACACAAACATAAATGATCATTCGTGTACTTAACCCTTTATTTTAAATGCAAATTGGTTGAAGAAAATATTAAAATAAGTTCTGTCATCAAAGTATAACCGAGAAAAGTGGAAAACAACTTAGTGATTAAAAATGTATAAAGTTTAATTATTAAATTAAAATGTTTTAAAATATAATGATTAAAGTAGAAGTGAAAATAAAGTTCAACCATTAATTGTGGAATTTACCCATGTTTGTGCTTTCACGGAAATTGCTGTCTTCCAATCCAATTCCCAAACACCCATCCTCCTCTCTATCTATCATTTTAAATTCTCCGGTTTATTTCTGTCAAATTATCCCATATAATATCTACAAGAGGGAAAAGAAAATGGAGCGTTCCTCATTTTCTTTATAAAACTCTCTCTTTTTTATTCTTCTTCTTCTTCTTCATTTTGAACCGTCTCCTATCGTATTTGGAAGGTTTTTCTATTTATTCAAATGTGTTTTTGAGTATGAATTGAAGGTAGGGTATTTTTATTTCATGGATTTTTTCTTTGGTTGGTTGTGACGGTTTTTTTCTTATAATATTCTAGATCTTCTTGATTCCTTTCAGGGGTTCTATTTTTAGAAAATGTAGTTTTCTTCTTCTCATTTTTAGGGTTTATTTTTATGTTTTTCTCTACATTGTTATAACTTGAAACAATTATGTATATTAGTTGGGTATTTCCAAGAAAAAAAGTTTTAACCTGATTTTCTCATAAATATCTGTCTTCTTTTTGGATGATTAAGCGGAATTCAGAGCTGGGGGTGAATTTAAGAGAAAGGATTGGGATTTTAAAAGAATTGGGTGGTAAGAATATTTAGCCCTGCTGATTTTCTTTCTTTCTTTTTAAGTGTATTAATTTTGATGATATGCATTGATGGATATATTGGTTTAATTGATCAAATATTAGCTAATTGCATTCATTTTGTTGATTCTTAAATTCCTTGTTAAAAAGAAAAAATCTAGGTTAATCTTTGTGTTTTTTTGGATATCCATTTATGTTGGTTTGAGAGAAAAGATTGTACGAATAAGTTACTGCAGATGATCGAGTGTTCGTTGAATTGTAATGAAATAGTTTTTACCCATTAATTGTTTATGGTGGAATATAGTTTCATGAGGGTTAGTGGTGATGTATGGAAAAAATTAAGCTGAAGTATTAAAAGTGTGTTTACTTCTTGGCGTTTAAATGATAGCATTTCTTACTACCGGCTCGGAGTAGCCATTTATGATTTAACATAATAACTTCCTGTTGGAATTTGATTCAGATAAAACAATTTTATAGTATGCGAAATTCAACTGATTTTGAGCTTTTCTTTTTTCCTTTCACTTTAGATTGCACATAGGTATTAGCATGGCATCTGGGAACCCAATTTTTGATGACTTGCAAAGCAAGCTTGAGGTTATAGATCCTCCGCCGCAAAATGAAGACATTTTGGATAGTGAACCTGTGAATGATCCTACTCAACCCGCTACAAAACCAAATTTGGTTGTGTCCGGCAGCGTTCGGGAACTGTTGGAGTGCCCTGTTTGCTTAAATGCAATGTACCCACCAATTCATCAGGTGTGTTCATCTGAAATGTTGTAGTTGATGATTACTTTCAAGAAATCGTTTAAGGATACTATTATTTGTGTTGGGTAATCTCTTGCTATCCATGGGAACCTTGTTATGTTTGTGAGTCTCGGACATGGGTACTTAAAGAACAATGAAGAGTCCAAGCAACATAGGTTACTAATACTAATTCATACCTAAAGATATTTTTACCAACCATATGTATGCAGAAGATGAATCTATATTGCACACACTTGCCATTGAGCATTATCTTACACCCTAACCGGTCCAAAAGGCTCAATGTGTTCCTTAACTGGTAAAAAATCCTCAATGAGTTATCTTTTATGGTTTTTTTTTGTTTTACTCTAGCCATTGATCATTACTTTACCTTTAAGCAAGTTGTAGTTTTGAATCATTGAATTAATTTGTTTAGATAAATGCATTAAAATTTGATATTGAAAGGGGAAAAGGAAGTTTCAATCAATGTCAGTGTTAATACCCCCAGAAAATAGAAGCTTCACATTGGAGGATAATGCTATGATTTATTGTATACTTAGAGAATGACATGAAATTCCTGATTTGGTGCACTTTATCGGTTGTGAATATTCATGTGTATGTATTGTATTCTGTTATTCTTTTTAACAGTGAACACGAATACTGTAAACTTAGTGTCCGTTTTCTTTCTCTGTGCAGTGCTCAAATGGACACACACTGTGTTCTGGTTGCAAGCCAAGGGTACACAATCGGTGCCCCACATGCAGGCATGAGCTCGGTAATATTAGATGTCTTGCATTGGAGAAGGTTGCTGCATTTCTTGAGCTTCCCTGTAAATATCAAAATTATGGGTGCGTAGGTAGCTATCCATATTACAGCAAGCTAAAACACGAGTTGCAGTGTTCATATAGACCATATAGTTGCCCTTATGCTGGATCAGAATGTACAGTTGTTGGTGATATTCCTTTTCTTGTTGCTCACCTGAAAGATGATCACAAAGTTGACATGCACAGTGGCAGCACCTTCAACCATCGTTATGTCAAATCAAATCCGCATGAGGTTGAGAATGCTACATGGATGCTAACGGTATTATTACCATGTCCTTCATATTTTCTTTCATATTTTGATTTCTCTCAATCCTCAAGAAGATGGATTATTATACCATTTCTGCTAATTTCAAAAACTGGAAATTTGTTTTCTGAATTCTCATCAGATTCGTAATGGACAAAGGGTTGTATAAAGTCCATTACCAATGTATTGTCATATTGTTCTACCACATGCATAGAGGGGAACTGAATCTATCAAAGTGGCTTTGCTGTTATGAAGTTGATTTCTACTTTTGGACAAGATATTTTTATTCTGTTTTTCTTCTGATTTTTGGATTTATTTTTTCAATTTCTAGGTTTTCAGTTGCTATGGTCAGTACTTTTGCCTGCATTTTGAAGCCTTCCAGCTCGGGATAGCTCCTGTTTATATAGCATTCTTGCGGTTTATGGGAGATGATAACGAGGCAAAGAACTATAGCTACAGCCTTGAGGTGGGTGGGAATGGGAGGAAGTTGACTTGGCAAGGGGTGCCAAGGAGCATAAGAGACAGTCATCGGAAGGTTCGTGACAGTTTCGATGGTCTCATCATCCAACGGAACATGGCTTTGTTCTTCTCGGGAGGAGACAGGAAGGAGTTGAAGCTTAGAGTGACAGGTAGGATATGGAAAGAGCAGTAATCGTGGGAGTGCCATCTCCAAGTTGCCTCCGATTCTGTTTTGTCGTAATAGCCGGTAGGTTGGTTTATTTTAATACGTTTTACGGGTCTTCTGGTCATGTGTTTCTTGGTTTGTTGAGGGGGCAAGCTCTCTTTGCTTATCCATGCGTCAAATGCATGAATTGAAAGATGTTAACATTAATGTCAAAATCTGGTATCTACCTGTAATCAATTTAGAGGTAATTAGAAATGCAGGTTTTCATGGTGCAAAATACAAGGTTTTTATGGTACAAACAAATTAAAATTAAAAAAAATATTTAAAATTTAAAATATTAAAAAATAATTAAATATTATAAAATTACAAAAAAACACTGGAAAATTTTCAACGAAATAAAATAAGACACATGGTAGAATATAGAATACCACCTTCATCGAGTTTTGTCACTCTAATGCAAGATAAATACCACTGAAAATATGGTGAACGAAATTCAAACTTACAAGAGAGAACCGCATAAAATATGATGAACATAATTCAAATTTATAAGAGATCTTTTCTGATGAAAATGTTCAAAATTTTTAATATTTTATAAATATTTTTAAATTTTGTTTTTTTTATGTTTTTAATATATCATTTTATAGTTTTTTGGTATTTTATTTTTTTTGGGAAAACTTTAATAGCATTTTTTAGTAATTTTGTAATATTTAGTTTTTTTAATATTTTAATATTCGTATATTTTAAATTTTAAATAATTGTTAATTTTTATTTTTTAAAGATTAAATAAGAGTTCTAACTTTTTAAAAGAATCAATTAAATCCTCAAACTTTTTAAAAGAATCAATTAAGTCCTAAATCTTTTAAAAAAATCAATCACCCATAGAACGAACCATCAATACAATAAATTACCATGTCAGCACAATGAACTATCATGTTAGCGTTGTGAACTGCCACATCAACATCATAATTGTCAACAACGATTTATGTTGATCAAAGGATGACATTGATTATTTTGTAGATAAGCTATTCGCATGACAACTTAACTATTGTCTCTTTTTCATTTTGACCATCAATTATGAAATTTTGTCAATCAAATCACTTAACTATTTAAGTGTTCCAATCAATCCACGTGTCATTAAGATTTATTGAAAGAGGTGACATGGTTGTTAGAATATTTGATTTAATTATGTAATTGGTCCTTAATATTTATATATTCTATCAATTTAGTCCTAAATTTAATTCAATTTAATAATTCAGTCAAATAGTACATATATCACCATATGATTGTGACTTTTTTCCTTAGTTTATAACCATAAATATTAAATATAATACATGACAATCTTAAAACTATGCTCTATAATTTTTTTTATCACTAATACATGAGAGAATAGTTCTTGTAAAAATGCCTAAGAAGGAGCAAATGAGTTTTAGAAGTGAAACCCAAAGGCCCAGCCCATATAATAAGCCCTAAAATAATTTTTCTTTCAATCTCTTGTAAATCAATTTTCTCCCCAAAATACCAATTTCAAACACGCTCCTAAATCCCCCCAAATCCAATCACCTCTCCTCTGAAAAATAATAATAGTACTAGAAAACAACGGAGAGTGCGTAATTCAGGCACCCAGCTCTTCAAAAAAGAAGACGAGGAGTGAAAACGATAATCACGTGCTTTATAATGTCAGCCTCATCGCCATCGGCGACGACGACGGCCACACCTCATCCTCCGCCGTTTCAGCGCATGGATACGCTGCCTAAGACACAACGTGGGCTTAATAAGCCTAAATGTATTCAATGCGGAAATGTTGCCCGTTCCAGGTTAAAAGATCTCCCTTTATTTAAAATTTATTTTCATATGTAATTAAGTGATTCTTTTTTGTTTTAATTTCCATTTTTGTGTGGCAATTTAGAAGAAATGATTTACTTGTCCAATGACACTACAAGATACGTTAAGTTACTTTGAATTTTAGACTCCGGATTTATTTAATTTGGTTGTTAATTTTTGTTCTGTTTTTTGTTTGTTCAAAAGTTGCAGGAAAATTTATGCTATAAACTGTGGTAAAATTTGTAAACTTAAGTTTAGATATTTGATTAGTTTAATCCATTGAGGAGTTTTAGAAGCTTCATTTCTGGTGTTTGATTGCAATTCTTTCTTTTAATGGTTTCTTGAGCTTGACAAGTTTTCCTATCAAATCATTCGTGTTACTTCGATTTCTTATGCAGGTGCCCATATCGTTCCTGCAAGAGTTGTTGCTCAAAAGCACAAAATCCATGTCATATTCATGGTATGTCTGGGAAACTTGGAAGATGAGTTTATTTTGGTTATTGTCAAATGTTAGTTGTTTTGGTTATCAGATTATGCCTAATTTTGTGGTTACTTGTGAAGGTGAAGTGGGAGTTTTAATGTCAGCGGATGATATGAAGTAAATTTCATGTTGGAAACTGCTATACTTTGTGTATTTTCTTGAAATACATTACAAAGACCTGCGTATTCTTTGTGGTCATCTAGTTGATTGCCTTTCTTTAGGGGATGTACCGATTCTTGAGGGCCAACTTTCAGCATTGTTAGTTGCTTATTTCACAGGATGATATGTTTTAATTTTGCTGGAATGGTCATTTATTCTATTGAAAGGCTTTACAATATGCTGAGCTTAGGTTTAAGTTTAAAAGCATGCTCTGTTAAGGTGATCACCTACGGGTTATCAGACTCAGCCCATTATTTAGAGGAAAATGGGATATCTTTTATGTAGGAATTGCCACCGAAGGAGTTTAGTAGCTTTGCTTTGGACAGAAATGCAGAATTTGTTCTTAATACACAAGCGTATATATTGTTAACGAATGAAGCATTGAAGACATAAATAACTCGATTCCTGATTTACATTGTAGTTTTAAAGTCAAGCTCAGCCTTTCCAGAGAAGCCACCAACTTCAAGCACTCCTTCGTCAGAGCAGAAGTCAACACAGGCATCTTCTCAAGTGTAAGTTGCAAAGATTAACTCTTCGATATATGCATTTCCTTTCTTTTTTGAAATTTTGACACAAAAAGCAGAAGAGTGTATATCTGCCTGAACAACTTATGTTTCTATGTGAAACTGTCATTGTAAGCTGATATAGTTCACAAAATTTGTTATTGCATGCATGTAACATTCCTTGTAGGAAAACATAGCTGTATCACGTTGGTCAATATGGGCCTCGCTGGAAATGTACATCTATTCTCATGTTTAGTATATTTCTATTCTACGATCCCTGATACTGTTTCAAGAATTTTAACTAGCATAGGTTCTGAAAACCAGCAGACGGTTATTTAATGCCTTGGCCCTAGAATTCGTTTTGTTTCCTATCCACTCAAACTCCAATGTGAACTTTGTTTTCCTAAAATCTTCAGGCCCCCCTATAATTTTGTTTTTTTCATTTTTCTGAATTGTTGACTTTATTATATTGGTTATCTACATCAGCTGTTCAACCCTATATTTCTAGGCTTTAAATTGATTTTTGAGTTTGTCATTTAAATTTTGACTTGTGGATGATTCCCCCCCTGTTGCATGTTGTTCAGGACACCCTTAAGGGCTCCCTCATTTAGGCAACTTTCCAATGCTTTTGCACAATTTGACAATCTGCAGGTCCGAACAAAGAAACACCTGACACGAAAGGTGCAGCTTAGTTAATAGTAAACAGATACTCTTGTTCAAGTTTGTTATATTACTGTATAGGTCTTGAACTGGTATGCTGTTTCAGGATGCTATAGCCTTAAACGAATGGAGATATTCCAAGCTGAAGGAATTCAAGGATGGAAATATCGAAATTGAAAACGATGCTTTCAACCGGTACATGCAGAATATTAGTTTACTCGAGGAAGTCTTTTCTATAAAATCTATGGATGAAGGGTCCAATGAGGATGGAGGGTCTAAGCCTAGGCCCACTTCAAAGGAAGACAAGACTTCAGTGATGAGTTCAGGTCTGAAGCTGACCCTAAAATCTGACCCGGTGAGAACCAATAATGCCAGAAAGAGGATAAAACAAATTGTTGATCAGGGAATAGAAAAGCTTCAGAGAACTGAAGCAAATGATGGTGCTAATGTTCCAGACGACCAAAATAAACTGGACAGTAGGTTGAAAAAGGTTAAAAGCTTGTGGGTTGAGAGAGCTTCAGTTGTAAGTGATGTCGTCGACAAGTTGAACAAAGCTCGAAATGAAGAGGATCTAAAATATTGTTTGGAGATGAAAGCACATCTTTATAATCAAAGCTCGATGTCTTCCGAGACGGAAACGAAAGGTCCCGAAACATTTAACGAAGAGTGTACAGAGACTCCCAGACAATTAGCACATCATCTGCTCACTCGAATCGAAATTGATCAAGAAACTGTCAACAAAATCGATGCACATTTTAGCACCGTTGAGCTAATTGAAGATTTATAACTGTTAGCACAACAATAATGAGACGGATGAGTCCTAGGTTACAACTTGTTGGGCTATGATCAATGGTGCTGGTTTGAACCTCCCTCCCTCTTTCTTTGTTTTAGTAACTTTGCTTAATTTTTTTTTTGTTTAATCTTTTTTGGTGCTTAGTTGCTATGTGTTGGACAAAATCCAAACACATATATTTTAGAAAAAATGAAGCGTAGTAGCATGTTGGAAAAGCTAGTGTTGCTTGTATTGCTGTTACTTGATTAATAGCATGAAATTTATATTGAAGCGAAGTAACGAAGGGTAAATATTCAATCGAATCGGGTAAATACAATTTGTGTTATTTGAATTGATAAGTCTTATTTTATAACTCAAATTTTATTTATTTTTTTTCGTATCGAGTCAAGTTTATAAAATTCAAGTTAAATCGAGTTGTTTGAATTTTCGTTTAAATTTAATTATAAATATTTATAATGTTTTGATACTAATTTAATATAATTTAAATAATTTTTTATAATATATATATTGAATGATTCTTCTTGAACTTCAAAACCATATCAATAGTTAAGAAAAATTTTGAGTTATTTAAATCCTATTTTATAACTCAATCCGAATTTAAATTTTTTTTGAGTTGAGTTTATAAAAATAAGAGTAGATTCAAGCTTTTTAGCATTGAGTCAAGTTAAAAATTTTGATATTTTCGAGTCAAATCGAGTTTTACTAACACGTAATAATAGCATAATGGAATTATGTGCGAATAATATTTTCATATATATTCAGAATTTTTCTTAACCAATTGATAATACACATTCGTATTTTGCATATGCATTACTCGAACCGAATCTTCCAAGAGAAGAGAAGAGCACGGCATACCTTTC